TAGACGGGGTGGCAGGACACTTGCTCACTGTGGGCACTAGATGGCGTCATGCGCAGTCACTGTTCCTCCTGGCACCCCAGCATCTTGGTTCAGCAGGTCACCTGCCACGGCTACTGGCTCCTCCTTCCCACTCTGCAGGGTGGCTCCCCATGAGAGGGGGCTGGGCTCCAAAAAGAGGACCAGAGGGCCTGGCTTTATAAACAGCTCAAGTCCTTCATGAGCCAGTAGGTTTCTAAGCAACACATATTCACAAACTTTTCTCACTCGAGGACTGAACGTAACCTGTATAACATAACATCATATGTCGGGCCCCTCCCTGTATGGGGGTGATCTTGGGATCTGACACTCTGTAGACCCGTGCAGTAGTCAAGCCACGTACTAGGCTGTCCTTGAGCATAGCCTATAAGGACAGAGAAAAGTACGTGTCCAGGCACCAGCTGTAACAACCACCACAACCTTGGTTGAATGCTCACTGTGCCAGGCTCTGACCCAATGTTTTGTGAATCATTATAAAAGCCTTTGAAGGGGGCTGTGAGGTGGGCGAGAGGGCCTTAGGGCTTGGTTGTGAGATCCCAAAGGCCTGGACTTGAATCTCTTGCTGCTGAATGCCTACTCAATTACCATGCGTAGTATGCATACATGAGAAGCACGACCCCATTTTACAGGTGAGCAAACTGAAGCTCAGAGAAGTTAAGCAACTTGCCCAAGGTCACACAGCCAGCATGGGCTGAGCAGAGATTCATGCACGGTTCCTTGTAACTCCACTCTGCTAGACTGACCCCGCAATCTCCGTCATTCAGTCTACAGGCCAGTGAGCCTACTGCCTGCTCTAGGAAGCACTGGCCTTCCATGGCCCTGGCCAGCATTTCTCCTCCAAATCTCTAGTTTCTACTTGTAGTTGTGATTACCTTGACTTTATTTAAATTGAGAACACCTTTCCATTCTTACAAAAACAGTGTGGTCCCAGGACCAGAACCAGCAGCATCACCTGGGAACTTGTCAGGACTGCAAATTCTCAAGCCTCACCCCGGAGAAAAGCTCTGGGGCTGGGGCCCTCCAGTGATGCTGATATAAGCTAAAGATTGAGAACATTTGCTGTGAAACATGTCTCTCATAAAACCGAGCCACTGGCTTAAGTCTAATTAACATTTATTGTACCTGTTCTTGGTGGTTCAAAGGGGAAGGCACCAGAAACTTAGCAGAGAAGGGAAGGATATAAACAGACGTGAAAAGTGATTTGCTCAGAAGCCACAAAATGGGTAGAGGAGGAGAGGGGAGTTGAGGAGGGGGTACTGGCCCAAATGATGCAACAGAACTGTCTGTAGCCTTTTTTTTTTTTGCTATACCACACAGCATGTGGGATCTCAGTTTCCCGACCAGGGATCGAACCCACACCCCCTGCATTGGAAGCGCCGCGTCTTAACCACTGGACCACCAGGGAAGTCCCTGTATAGCTTTTTTTTTCCCCTCTTATTTATTTATTTATTTTAATATCTTTATTGGGGTATAATTGCTTTACAATGGTGTATTAGTTTCTGCTTTGTAACAAAGTGAATATACATATGTATATGTATATCAGTATATATATCAGTTATACATATACATATGTTCCCATATCTCTTCCCTCTTGCGTCTCCCTCCCTCCTGTATAGCTTTTAAAGCGGGCACACGGGGTTACAGTTGGACGGTTCTGGGGTGGACCCAGAAGCTGCACTGAGAAAAGCTGCATAGGTGGTTCTGCTCTGCTGTCCAGAATGGGAACCCTGCCCTAGTGGAAAGAGCTTCGGGGGCTTCACAGCCCGGCTTCAATCAGGCTTCGGCGTCCAGGGGGAGTATAACACTGTTTGTAACAGGAAAGACAACATCCTCCCTTCTGAAGATGGACCCCCCACCACCACAGTGTTTCCCTCCCGCACACTGAGTGTCGGGGGTTTGCAGGTATCTACTGCCCCTCGTGTGCCCTCTGTGCCCTCTGCCCTCTAACCCCTGTCATCCCCAACACCAAAGCGGTCCACACCTCCGTGCCGGCCCCCAGGTTCCTGTGAGTTCTCACCCAGCTGTCTGCTCTTCCACCCTAACTGCTGGTTCTCAGCACTGTGCACATTGGAATCACCCGGAGAGCTTAAAAAACCAACATATACACATACATACGTATACATATGTACGTCTATACACACGCAGTATGTAACTCTTGCAATGCACAGTATTTGAGACATACTAAAAATTATTTATCTGACATTTTTAATTTAACTGGGTGCCCTGTATTTTAGGAGAGTCAGAAATAGTGATGGTGACTACTGGGTCTAGAGCCCTCGGACAGGGGACTGATCAGTGAGATCCACAGGGAGTCCAGGCTTAAGCCCACTTCCTGGGCCCTTTCGCTCTTTGTGCCCCCATCTCCAAAGGCAGGATGTGCTTAGCCAGCAGGGAGGTCTCACAGGCCTCCCCCCCACCCCCCGCTCCAGGTTATTACAGACCCAGCTCTGATTAGTGGTTATGGGACCTGATGCCAAGTGAGCTGCTGGGGGGCTCTGTCGGGGCTCCTGCCACGTGGCCTCAAGCACCCACAATCCCTTTCCGGGCGGTTCTCTCTTTACTCCCCTGGACCGAGGAGTGCCCAAGTGCAGCGAGATGCTCTCTCTGACAAAACAAAGTCTGAGATTGGGATTGACATATATATATACACTAATATGTATAGAATAGATAACTAATTAAAAAATGGAGATAAAATTTAAATGATGGCTTAGCATTTCAGCTCTGAGAATAAAAAATATTTATAACAAGTTCTAATAAAATGTATTCATTTCTTTATTAAAAAAAACCAAAGTCTGAATTGTGAAGGAGCAGTGCGTCAGGCACGGCAATCTGCGGTGAACTACGTACACATTTGTATTCATATTTTCCTCATTGCTCTGCAGTTTGGCTTTCAACAACTAAGAATTAAAATGCTGTTGTCGGGGCTTCCCTGGTGGCGCAGTGGTTGAGAGTCCGCCTGCCGATGCAGGGGATGCGGGTTCATGCCCCAGTCCGGGAAGATCTCACATGCCGCGGAGAGGCTGGGCCCGTGAGCCATGGCCGCTGAGCCTGCGCATCCGGAGCCTGTGCTCCGCAACGGGAGAGGCCACGGCAGTGAGAGGCCCGCGTACCACAAAAAAACAAAACAAAATCAAGGGAAGACCTGAAGGTTGGGTACCATTATGCCAACCTTGGAAATCATTTGACCAGGAAGGTGGGATGAAGTGGGAAGACAGAAGTGCCCCAGAAAACCTGTCAAAAATAGAGAAAGGAGGGCTTCCCCTTAAAAAAAGATAAGTCCAGACATAACTCCTGGGGAAAAGATGAATGAGACACGCACCCTAATTTGTGTCTACGACAGATGCTATCCAAACCGTAAAGTCACAAGGGCCCCTCAAAGCCTTGCCGTGACGTCCCCACCCAGCGTTCTACGTTGGCTTTGTTTGACCAGCAGTATGACAGGAATATTTCAAAAGAACTTCTATGAAGAAATCAAGGCACAAACGTACCAAGAGGGGTCGCTTCAAAGCCAGCAGACCTTCAGCTTTCGTGGCCTTGACTGTCCTGTTGGTCCCTGATGTGATCTAATTTGTGTTTTTGCTGAGCCGGGAGTTTCAGTGGTAGTTATGAGGGGTGGAGCTGTGGGAGCAAAACCTCTGCTTGTGGGTGAGCCCAGCACCCACCTCTGCTCCCAGCTTTGATACTTTTTGCCTATTGGTACAAAGCTACTCTGCCAGGGTAGGTTTTTTAAATTGCTAGGCGAGGTGGCCGATGTGAAAAGATCTGAGAACACGATAGTTCTTAGTTGTTAAGAAGATGTTTTTGGTGGCAGGGCACGTCAAATACAAGGAAGACCCAGCTCTGTGATGTTGACAAGCTTCCTGCAGGGGTTCAGAGGGCAACTCATCCTGGAACTGTCTCATTCATCAAAGGCTCCCAGGAGTGCAGAAACCACACATCAGAAGAGAGACTGGAGAGGGACTTCCCTGGTGGTCCAGTGGTTAGGACTTGGCACTTTCACTGCCGTGGCCCAGGTTCAATCCCTGGTCGGGGAACTAAGATCCTGCAAGCCAAAAGAAAAAAAAAAAAAAAAATTCAACATAGAACTACCATATGATCCAGCAATTCCAATTCTGGATATTTGCCTCAGAGAGTTTGAGTCGCCTCAAAGCAGGGACTCAAAGGCATGTTTGTACACCCATGATCACGGCAGAATTTTTCACAAGAGCCAAAAGGAGGAAGCATCCCACGTGTCTGTTGACTGATAAATGGATAAACAAAATGGAGTGTATTCGTACAGGTGGTGTTATTCAGCCTTAAAAAGGAAGGAAATTTTTTTTCATAAATTTATTTATTTTTGGCTGCGTTGGGTCTTTGTTGCTGCACGCGGGCTTTCTCTAGTTGCGATGAGCAGGGGCTACTGTTCGTTGCGGTGTGCGGGCTTCTCATTGCAGTGGCTTCTCTTGTTGCGGAGCATGGGCTCTAGGCACACAGGCGTCAGTAGTTGTGGCTCGCGGGCTCTAGAGCGCAAGCTCAGTAGTTGTGGCGCATGGGCTTAGCTGCTCCGCGGCATGTGGGATCTTCCCGGACCAGGGCTCGAACCCGTGTCCCCTGCACTGGCAGGCAGATTCTTAACCACTGCGCCACCAGGGAAGCCCCCAGGAAGGAAATTCTAACACATGCTATGACATGGATGAGCCTTGAGGACATCATGCCCAGTGAAATAAGCCAGTCACAAAAAGACAAATACAGTGTGATTCCACTCGTGTGAGGTCCCTAGAGCAGTCCAGCTGAGAAACAGAAAGTAGAACAGTGGCTGCCAGGGGCTGGAGGGAGGGGGAGTCAGTGCTGAAAAGAGAGGGGTTTCAGTTCGGGATGAAGGTGAGGGACGGCGGTTCTGGAGAGGGGTGGTGGTGGTGATAGCTGCACAGCAGTGTGGGTGGACTTAATGCCACAGAGCTGGACACTAAAGATGGTTAAAATGGTCAATTTTACAGGGTGTATATTTTAACAGAGTTTAAAACAAGAGGTAACGGACTGAAAGTGAGGTTAGTCTGCAGTCACAGCTGGGACAGGAAGCACGTGACTCCTGAGAGGGGAGTTTGGGCCAAAGCCTCATTATACTTGCTGAACGGGTGGCAGCCCTGCCACAAGCGGCATCTGGAAGCTGGACCCCTGGCCACCCTCCTTCCCCATCGCAGCCACGCCCTTTAGCAGATGACAGGTAAGTGCACATTCCTTGCTCCTCCTCGTTTCCCTCGTGGCAGAGTGGAAAGGGCTTGGGACGGACTGTCAATCAGGACTTGAGTTCTTGTCCTTTCCCCTCCCTGGGCCTCCCCACCCCTCCCCGGCCTCCCTCAAGCCCAGGGGCTGGAGACGCACAGAGCTCCCTGCGGCCAGACGGTCCCTGCTGGAGCTCACGTCTGCGTCTCTCTCAGTCCATTGTCGGCCTATGGTTTTCGCGGTTGTTTCCTGTTTTTGTCCTTTCTCTTCCCTCCCCTGCTCTGTCAACCACACAACCAACTTAGAGGTATGGGGCTGCCTCCCTGCCATGGGCCACATGGGCCCAGGCCATCCAGGAAGTTTCCTTCTAGTTTGCTAAGAGCTTTTATCATGAAAGATGTTGAATATCATCATTTTTTTTTTCTAGATCTACTAAGATGATCATAGTTTTTTTTCTTCTTAAATCTATTAATGTAAGTTTTTAGTTTGGGCTCCTTCAAAAGTAGAGCCTGGAACAAGGACTTCAGTTCCCGTAGATTATTTGAGAGGTGATGCCAGGAAGCAGGGAGCGAAGGAGATAAAGCCAATTAACAATGCACAGGGAAGGAGAAAAAGCCAATTAAGGATGCATAATTGCTGTTGCAGCTGTAGGCAAAGGAAGTTCAAATCTGTGGGGACCTCTGATAACTCTACAGGATGCTGCCCAGAATTGCCTTCCCCAAAAGGAGACTGGAGCCTGTATCCACCAGCTCCTGTTTCATCTTAGGGATGAAAGGGTTTCATCTTAGAGAACTTAACTCTCCTATGCTTCTGGGAAACACTAGCAGGCAGATAAGTGACTCCTAAAGCCGTTGAAGAAGACCCTGAGGCAAAACGCAAAAAGCAACATGATATAAGCTTGAGGTGAGACACTGGAGCATAAGGTGAGTCTAAGCTTGCAGGAAATTATGTGCTGTAAATACAGTGGACATCAGAGGAGGGCAGAAGTAATGTGACATAGAGCACCGAAGTTTACTGTTACCAACAATAATAAATGACATATGTAGATTTCTCTTCTGTTGTTAGACTACCTTTGCATAGCTGAGATAAGCCCAACTTGGACATGATGTCTAGTATTTTTAATATACTGCTAGATTTGGTTTGTTTGTATTTTTCTTACTGTTGCATTTATATTCATGAGTGAGACTGGCTTCTAATTTTCCTTTTTCATCCTATTCTTGTCTCATTTTGGTATTAAGGTTACACTGGCCTCATAGAAAGAGTTAAGAGTGTGTTCCTGCGATTTGCATTCTCAGAAAGAGTTTTTATAAAATTAGAATTATCTCTACTTAAACTTCTGGAACACTATCTAGACTTGGTATTTCCTTTGTGGGAAGATTTCAAATTATGGATTTAATTTTGTTTTTAGTTTGTTTTTAATATTCTACATATGAATTAAATCATATGGTATTTGTCTTTTTCCATCTGACTTATTTCACTTAGCGTAATGCCCCCAAGGTCCATCCATGTTGTCACAAATGGCAAGATTTCATCTTTTTTTAAAAAAATATTTATTTATTTATTTATTTGGCTGCATTGGGGCTTAGTTGCGGCATGTGTTGCGGCACGTGGGATCTTTCGTTGAGGCTCGCGGGCTCTACTTTGTGGTGTGCGGGCTTCCTCTAGCTGTGGCATGGATTTAATTTCTTTAATAGCTGTAGAACCATTCAGGCTTCTTATTTCTTCTTAAATCAAGTTAGGTAAGTTCTGTTTTTTCTAAGATTTGGTCTACTTTGTTTCATATTTCTTGACATAAATGATTTATAGTCTTTTTAATTTTAACTTTATTGAAGTATAGTTGATTTATAATGTTGTATTAATAAAATTTTCAATTATGGTAAAATACACATAACATAAAATTCACCATTTAACTGGTTTTAAATGTACTGTTTTAAAGATGGTTGTGTTACATTTACACTGTTTTGCAACAAATCTCGAAAACTTTTTATCTTGCAAAACTGAAACTCTATACCCATTAAACAAACAACTCACCATTTCCCCCTGCCCCCAGGCCCTGGCAACCACAGTTCTACTTTGTTTCTATGAATTTTTTTTTTTTTTTTTTTTTTTTTTTTTTGTGGTACGGGGACCTCTCCCATGGCGGAGCACAGGCTCTGGACGCGCAGGCTCAGCGGCCATGGCTCACGGGCCCAGCCGCTCCACGGCATGTGGGATCTTCCCGGACCAGGGCACGAACCCGTGTCCCCTGCATCGGCAGGCGGACTCTCAACCACTGCGCCACCAGGGAAGCCCTGTTTCTATGAATTTGTACAGGCTTCTTCTTTTTTGAATTATAACATTATTTTAATTTTTTAAATTGAAGTATAATGTACAATATTATGTAAGCTTCAGGTGTTCTACGTAGTGGTTTGGCATTTGCATACATTATGAAATAATAACGATAAGTCTGTTAATCATCTGTCCCCATATGGAGTTATTACAATATTATTGGCCATATTCCTTATAGTGTGTGTTATATCCCTGTGGCTCATTTTGTAACTGGAGTTTTGTACCTCTTAATCCCATTCACCTATTTTGTACCCCTCTCCACCCCTTTCTCTCTGGTAACCACCCATTTGTCCTCTGTATCTGTGAGCCTGTTTTTTGTTTGGTTTTATTTGTTTTATTTTTTATTTTATTTTTTAATTTTTTAACAGATCTTTATTGGAGTATAATTGCTTCACAATACCGTGTTAGTTTCTGTTGCACAACGAAGTGAATCAGCCATATGCATACACATGTCCCCATATCCCCTCCCTCTTGAGCCTCCCTCCCATCCTCCCTACCCCACCCCTCCAGGTGGTCGCAGAGCACCGAGCTGATCTCCTTGTGCTATGCTGCTGCTTCCCACCAGCCAACTATTTTATATTCAGTAGCGTATATATGTCGATGCTACTCTCACTTCACCCCAGCTTCGCCCTCCCACCCCATGTCATCAAGTCCATTCTCTATTTCTACCTCTTTATTCCTGCCCTACAACTAGGTTCATCAGTACCATTTTTTTAGATTCCATATATATGCATTACCATACGGTATTTGTTTTTCTCCTTCTGACTTACTTCACTCTGTATGACAGACTCTAGGTCCATCCACCTCACTACAAATAACTCAATTTCGTTCCTTTTTATGGCTGAGTAATATTCCATTGTATATATGTGCCACGTCTTCTTCATCCATTCATCTGTTGATGGACATCTAGGTTGGTTCCATGTTCTGGCTATTGTAAATAATGCTGCAATAAACACTGTGGTGCATGTCTCTCTCTGAATTATGGTTTTCTCAGGTTATATACCCAGCAGTGGGATTGCTGGGTCATATGATAGTTCTATTTTAAGTTTTTTAAGGAACCTCCATACTGTTTTGCATAGTGGTTGTATCAATTTACATTCCCACCAACAGTGTAGGAGGGTTCCCTTTTCACCCCACCCTTTCCAGTATTTATTGTTTCTAGCTTTTTTGATAATGGCCATTCTGACCGGCGTGAGCTGATACCTCATTGTAGTTTTGATTTGCATTGCTCTAATAATTAGTGATGTAGAGCATCTTTTCCTGTGCCTTTTGGCCATCTGTATGTCTTCCTTAGTGAAATGTCTATTTAGGTCTTCTGCCCATTTTTTAACTGGATTGTTTGTGCTTTTTATATTGAGCTCTATGAGCTGTTTGTATATTTTGGAGATTAATCCTTTGTCTGTTGTTTCATTTGCAAATATTTTCTCCCATTCTGAGGGTTGTCTTTTTGTCTTGTTTACGGTTTCCTTTGCTTTTTGCTTAAAAGCAAAACTTTTTAAGTTTAATTAAGTCCCATTTGTTTATTTTTGTTTTTATTTCTGTTCCTCTAGGAGGTGGGTCAAAAAAGATCTTGTGGTTTATATCAAAGAGTGTCTTTCCTATGTTTTCCTTTAAAAGTTTTACAGTGTCTGGTCTTACATTTAAGTCTTTAATCCATTTGGAGTTTATTTTTGTGTAGAGTGTTAAGTAGTGTTCTAATTTCATTCTTTTACATGTAGCTGTCCAGTTTTCCCAGCACCACTTATTGAAGAGGCTGTCTTTTCTCCATTGTATGTTCTTGCCTCCTTTGTCATAAATTAGGTGCCCATAGGTGTGTGGGTTTATCTCTGGGCATTCTATCCTGTACCATTGATCTATATTTCTGTTTTTGTGCCAGTACCATACTGTCTTGATTACTGTAGCTTTGTGGTATAGTTTGGAGCCAGGGAGTCTGATTCCTCCAACTCCGTTTTTCTTTCTCAAGATTGTTTTGGCTATTCAGGGTCTTTTGTGTTTCCATACAAATTTTAAGATTTTTTGTTCTAATTCTGTGAAGAATGCCATTGGTAGTTTGAAAGGGATTGCATTGAATCTGTAGATTGCTTTGTGTAGTATAGTCATTTTCACAATATTGATTCTTCCAGTCCAAGAACGTGGTATATTTCTTCATCTGTTTATGTCATCTTTGATTTCTTTCATCAGTGTTTTATAGTTTTCTGAGTATAAGTGTTTCGCCTCCTTAGGCAAGTTTATTCCTAGGTATTTTATTCTTTTTGTTGCAATGGTAAATGGGAGTGTTTCCTTAATTTCTCTTTCTGATATTTCGTTGTTGGTGTATAGGAATGCCAGAGATTTCTGTTCATTAATTTTGTATCCTGCAACCTTACCAAACTCATTGATTAGTTCTAGTAGTTTTCTGGTGGCATCTTTAGGATTTTCTATGTATAATATCATGTCATCAGCAAAGAGTGACAGTTTTACTTCTGCTTTTCCAATTTGTATTCCTTTTATTTCTTTTCTTCTCTGATTGCTGTGGCTAGGACTTCCAAAACTATGTTGAATAAGAGTTGCAAGAGTGGACGTCCTTGTCTTGCTCCTGATCCTAGTGGAAATGCTTTCAGTTTTTCACCATTGAGTGTGATGCTTGCTGTGGGTTTGTCATATATGGCCTTTATTATGTTGATGTAATTTTTGTTTTTTATTTGCCATGCCACGCAGCTTGCAGGATCTTAGTTCCCCGACCAGGGACTGAACCCACACCCTCGGCAGTGAAAGCTCAGAACCCTAACCGCTGGACTGCCAGGGAATTCCCATTTGGTTTTTTTTCAGATTCCACATATAAGTGAGATCATACAGTATTTGTCTTTCTCTGTCTGACTCACTTCATTTAGCATAATACCCTCTAGATCCATCCATGTTGTCGCTAATGGCAAGATTTCATTTTTTATGGCTGAATAATACTCCATTGTATAGATAGACCAACCACATCTTTATCCATGCATCTGTCAGTGAACACCACCAACAGTACACAAGAGTTCCCTTTTCTCCACATCCTTGCCAACGCTTTTTATTTGTTTTCTTTTTGATGACAGCCATTCTGACAGGTGTGAGGTGATATCTCATTGTGTTTTTGATTTGCATTTCCCTGATGATTAGTGATGTTGAGCATCTTTTCATGTCTGTTGGCCATCTGTATATCTTCTTTGGAAAAATGTCTCTTCAGGTTCTCTCCCCGTTTTTTTAAAAAATTAATTAATTAATTTGGTTGCGCCAGGTCATAGTTGCGGTATGCAGGATCTTTAGTTGTGGCATGTGGGATCTAGTTCCCTGTTCAGGGATTGAACCTGGGCCCCCTGCATTGGGAGTGTGGAGTCTCAACAACTGGACCACCAGGAAAGTCCCCTCTGCCCACTTTTTAATAGGGTTTTTTTTTTTTATGTTGAGTTGTATGATTCTTTGTATATTTTGGCTATTAACCCCTAATTGGATATAACATCTGCAAATATCTTCTCCCATTTAGCAGGCTGCCTTTTTGTTTTGTTGATAGTTTCCTTCATTGTGCAAAAGCTTTTTAATTTGACGTATTTGTTTATTTTTGCTTCCCTTGCCTGAGGAGACATATCCAAAAATTATTGCTAAGACCGATGCCAAAGAGCATGCCGCCTATGTTTTCTTCTAGGAATTTTATGGTTTTGTTTATTGGGATTTTAAAAATTATTATTACTGGTTCAGTTACATTACTGGTAATAAGTCTGTTCGTATTTTCTATTTCTTCCTGATTCAGTCTTGGGAGATTGAACGTTTCTAGGAATTTATCCATTTCTTCTAGGTTGTCCATTGTATTGGTTCATAATTGTTCACAGTAATCTTTTATGACCCTTTTTATGTCTGAGGTGTTTTTGTAACTTCTCTTTTGGTTCTGATGAGTTTGGCTAAAGGTTTATCAATTTTGTTTATCTTTTTGAAGAACCAGCTCTTAGTTTCACTGATCTTTCCTATTGTTTTTTGTTTGTTTGTTTGCTTTTAGTCTCTATTTCATTTATTTCTACTCTGATCTTTATTATTTCTTACCTTCTACTAACTTTGGGTTTTGTTCTTCTTTTTCTAGTTCCTTTAGGTGTAAGGTTAGATTGTTCATTTGTATAGTCTTCTTTTTAATCTTGTAGTTATTTTTATTCCTAATAATGTTTATTTGTGCTTTTCTTTGTTTATAAGTAAATTCCAGCAGAGATTTGCCTGTTCTACTGGTTTTTTCAAGGAACTAACTTTTGGTTTTATTGATCCTGTCTACCATATCTTTGTTTTCTATTTTATTGATTTCTGTTCTTTATTATTCTCTTCTGAGTTTACTTTTGGGTTTACTTTGTTGTTCTTTTTATAACTTCTTGACTTCTTACTTAAATTGGATACTTATTTCATATACTTTTCTAATACAAGCATTCAAGATTATAAATTTCCCTTTAAGTACCACTTTGATGCATCCAACTAATTATAATCTATGATATTTTCATTATCACTCAAATCTAAGAATTTTAAAATGTGTCATTTATGATTTTTTCTTTGACCCATGGATGAGTATGTTTTTAAATTACCAAATATATAGGGGTCTTAAAACTTATCTTTTTGATGAATTTGTATTCTCTATAGGTGCAGATCAAGCTTTTACATTGTATGTTTCAGCTCTTCCATTCACTTACTGATTTTTTTGTCCGCTTCATTATTCATAATTGAGAGACATTGTATTAAATGCTGTGATGATGGTTTTATCTCTTTGTAGTTCCTTCAAACTAAGTGCTTACAAGTTTAGAACTATTATAATTTCCTGATGAACTGACCCTTTGATCTAGGTACTCACTCTATCCCTAATAAATATCAATATTTTTGTCTTAAAAGTCCTCTTTGTCTGATACGAATAGACCTTTTCTGGCTTTCTTTTGGTTAGCTTTTGCCTGGTATATCTTTTTCCATCCTTTGACTTTCAACCATTCCATACTCTTAATCATTACATGTGTCTTGTAAACAATGTGGAACTGGGTTTTCTGTTTAAATATTTTAAAAATCGAATCTGAGATGAGAATTTAGGCATGACTGAGTACATGACTTCCACTAAACCCTGCTGAGAACTGAGTTTAAGAGCCTGCATTTTCAACAGCAATCCATAGTCGGTAAGAACTCTAACCCAGAAGGTTGCCTTCAAGGTAGTGTGTTTGAGCTGCTTTTTTTTTTTTTTTTTTGTAGACTTTTTTTTCCTAAGAGCAGTTTTAGGTTCACCTCAAAACTTAGGGGAAGGTAGAGATTTCCCACAAACCTCCTGTCCCCACGCACGCACAGCCTCCCCCATTACCAACACCCCCCCACCCCCCCACCAGAGTGGGACATTTGTTATGACTGATGAACCTGCATGGACACATCATCATCGCCCACAGTCCATAGTTTACATTAGGGTTCACTCTTGGTGGTGTACATTCTATGGGTTTGGACAAATGTATAATGACACACATGCACCACTGTAGTATCATACAGAGTAGTTTCCCTGTCCTAAAAATCCTCTGTGCTCTGCCTGTTCATCCCTCCCTCCCTTTAATCCCTGACAACCACTGATCATCCAACCAACTACTCATCATTCCTAAATTCTCACCTCAGTTCTGTCACCTAATTCACCTGAGCCCCAGGTTCCTCAGATGCACAATCAAAATGTGTAGATTTGGTGTGATAATTAAATGAGATAATGTAGTAAAACCTTAACTTAGTCCCTAGAAAAGAATAGGTGTCAATTAAATGCTAGTTTCCTTTTCCTTCCTCCTTCTCTTAGTAATCTGAAATAATGTTTAGCTGAGAAAAAAAAAGAGAAGAAAGTGCCCAGGGACAGTGTGTATCACCAGAAATCTAAGAGCAGGGGAGGGTAGGGGGCAGAGGAAGGAGGTAAACATCCAGCTATTGCCTCCTAAACCCTATTTCCAACTTGGAAAATCCCTACGCAGAGGGGACTCCCACAGTGTGTCCTGTGGGATTTGGGGCTCCCCAGATCTGAGGCTTGTAGGCAGCGCTGTCCTGTGTGTACACACAGCGCACGGGAATCCCGTGTGCACACACATCACTCACACACACGTGTGCCCCCGGCGCTCCCCCCATCTGCCTGGCTTATCAGCTGCTTCCCAGCTTCCTCTGCTTGGCTTCTTAGAGACCTGGGACCTTGGGAGCCGGCCTTCCACGTGGCCTCCCCAAGACCACTCAGATAACGAGAGGAAATGTGGTCATCAGCTCACAGAAGACTGGGGGTTCCGGCTGCGGCTCCAGGCCACCACTCCCTGACCTGCGCCCTCCATCTCTCTCCAGGCGGTTCTCGGCTGTTCCCTGGGAGCCCGTGGACGCCACTCGAGATGTCCCCTTTTGGTGGCTGGGGACTGCTCTCGGCCTTCCTCGCCCTGCTCTGCTGCACAGGTGAGCCTGGGGTTCCTGACGGGGCGCGTGCCAGCCAGGACCCCCTCGCCTTCAGGCAGGGAAGGGGGTCCCGGTCCTGAAGTCGCTGAGGCTTTGAACACAGAGGCCGTCCGCCATGGGTACAGGATGCTGTGCCAGCCTGGCTTCCCCATGACCCTGGGCAGCGGGTAGGGGTCCTGGCCTTTTGGGAACCAGACCCCATAACTTCATGGTGTGTGGATGTGGCAGGCTGTGGAGACTAAATGGAGAGGTGAAGGGAGGCTGGGGTTCAAGGGCAGGTGAGGGCACGCCCCAGCTAGTCTTCAGTGGTGGCCCAGGGGTCAGCAGAGGGCAGCAGAGGGCATCACCTTGTGGCGACCATGAAAGCGAAAACGAAGCCCCTTCCAGGAGGTCCAGGGGACCGTGAAGGAAAATGCCTCCGTGGGCTGAGCACTCTGTTTTGGACAACCTGCCAGGTGCTTTCACGACAACCCTGCAGGAAAGGGATTACTAGCCCATTTGACAGATGGAGAAACTGGGGCTCAGAGAGAGAAAGCACTTTGCCCAAGGCCACACAGCTGGTACCTGGCAAACTCAGGTTTCAAATCCAGCTCTCTCTCCCTGCAAAGCCCCTCTTTTGCCCCTTCATTATATGCCACTAGCTGAGGGCTAAGTGGGGGGTCTATGGGTGTGGCAGGAGCACAGGACACAGGACGGGCCCAGCTGGCTGGGATCAAGGACCTTCTGGTCTTCACCGAGTGGGAGGCGAGCACCGAAGGCCTGAAATGCTTCGTGCCTGAAGCATTTCTTGGCTCTGTGCCACACACAGGGTATTGTGCTGAGCACAAAGGGAAATATGCGAAATCTGGGCCTTGCCTTCTAGAAGCTCCAGAATGTCCAAGGGAGAGCCAGCGTGAATATGAGTCATTTGCAAGGTGGTCCCATTACCTTCCTGACCTCGCCTCCCCCTCCTTCCTCCTCGCTGAGCTCCAGCCATCTGGTCTCCTCCCCACCCAGGGTCTCTGCGCTGGCGGTTCCCTCCCCCCACAGATACCTGCCTGCTGGGCTCCCCACCACCACCACCCCGACCTCCTTCATTCTTTGCTCAAATGTCGGTGTTTCCGTGAGGCCTGTGCTGACTACACGATTTAACACGGCAACCCCACCCCACTCCCTATTTCCTTTCCTAGGCATTTACCACCAACTGACAAGCTGGCTAGTTCACTTGTTTATTATTGTCTGTCTCCTTCGCTGCAATGCGACCGCCGCAAGGGCAGGGTTTGGTCTGCTTTGGTCCCTGCTGGATCCCCAGAGCCTAGAACAGTGCCTGGCACACAGCCGGTGTTCAAAAAGGATTTGCAAAGAAGAGAGGAAAGGAGGGAGGGAAGAGTCGAACCCATGGCCATGGGGGCTCAGAGGACACAGTCCACCTCCATTTCAGAGAGGCCTTCGTGAAGGAGGGGACATTTGGGCTGGGCCTCGTAGGTCGAATAAGATCCCTCTCCATGGAGATAGAAGACGTGCATGAGAAAGACTAATCTGGAGGCGACGAGCTGGAGGAACAGCAACTAGAGGCAGGGAGACAGCTGCAGGGGGGTCACAGTCTCTATGGTCTAGACCCAAGGCGATAAGGTCTGAACAAGGGGAGAGGAGCAGAGGGGACCTCTACCCCTCATCAGACTGCCCGCTGCGGGCAGCTCCACTGGGCAGGGCAGCAGGGACTTCTCCTGCCTAGTGTTTCTGGTCTTCTAGGGTCTGGCGAGGAGGCATTCGAGGTACGCATGTGGCCAGAGCAGCTGATGGTGGAGTCCGGGGAGTCTCAGGTGATTAACTGTAGTACCACCTGTACCCAGCCCAACACCGGTGGTCTGGAGACCACCCTACACAAGACTCTCCTGGCGGAACAGGATCAGTGGAAGCTGTATGAGGTCTTCAACATCTCCCAGGACACAGATGTCATTTGCCATTTCACTTGCTCCGGGAAGCAGGAGTCCAAGAGCCTGAACATCAGTGTGTTCCGTGAGTGCGGCACCGCGGGGCCCTGCTCCCCTAGGCCAGAGCCTGTGTCTACCGAACGCGCGCAGAGCTGCTCTGTTACTGCTGCTGGGTGCTCTGGTTATGGCCCCCACTTCCCTGGGCTCCTGGACCCAGTCCATGGGCTCAGAATCTTCTCACACCCTCCCCTGGTCTCCTTGAGCCTGTTGGCAACCCTGGTTTTGAGGTTTGCTCAGAGGAGGACAATTCAAGCAAGGTTTAGACAAATCTAAAAGCTGTTTCCCATGCCGTGCTACAGTCTCCTCCTAGCTTGGTAGCACCCCATCACCAGAACACCCTGCGCCCCATGACAAGCAGTGGGGGCCCCATCAGGAGGGCTGGTACACTCTGCAGTAGCCCACTGGCCTCCCGGAGAGAAGGCTGAGGCGTGGTTTTATCTCCCCCTGAGGGCCCTTGGCAAATGTGTGACCATCACACACACACCTGCCCAGAGGCCATGGAGACCCTGGAGAGACTGGGATTCTCTCAACAGCTTGGCACCGAGGGTATCGCTCGAAACTGTCATCGGTGGATCAGATGAATAGAAAGATGTCCTATACCTAACATATTATCCTGGGGTAATGGGGGCAAGGCATTCTAGTTCAAAAAGGAACCCAGGGTACCACCGAGTTTAATAGCTAAGGGCTAGAGGTAGCTCAGAGCCCGATCCTGAAGAGCCAAGGCAGGTCTGACTCCGGCCTCCGCCTCTGAAGTGAAGAATCTCACAGCTCATGATCCAGTTCCAATGAGTACTCCCTTCTAAGTCTCTCTCAGCATAATTGTCCAACCATTTAATTTTTGAAATTTGTATTTAATTTTTGGAGAGGAAGGAGACAGGTCCAAAACTTTTATATCTTTCTAGTTGACTGTACAGATTCTGGACCTTTTCTTTGTAGACACCAGGCTACCTCCATTCTTGTCCATTCCAGAATTCATGTCCATAAAACAACCACCCAGTACATGCTTCACCCTGAACTGCTTCCTCCTTCCTCTTTTTACACTTTAGAGCAGCCAGGCCCCAGCCCACTTCCTGAGAACACTGTGGTGACGGGGATGGTCCTGGCTGGGTGGAGCCTGCTGGAACTGCACCCCCATCCTGACCAGACCTTGCTTCCTTCTTTCCTTCAGACCCTCCAAAGCAAGTGCTGCTGAAGTTATGGCCCACTTTAGTGGCTGTAGGGAGATCGTTCACCATCCAGTGCAGGGTGCCCTCTGTGGCACCCCTCGAAGGTCTCACTGTCACCCTGCTCCATGGCAGTGAGATCGTATACAGCCAGACCTTTGTGGGGACAACACTTTCCCCCCAAGAGGCCATGGTCACCCACAACACCACGGCTCACCGGGAAGATGACCGCCACAACTTCTCCTGCCGGGCCGAGATGGACCTGCGCTCTCGCGGCGGGGACCTCATTCACAGCGTCTCAGATCCCCAGGCGCTCGACGTCTATGGTGAGGGGGAGCCCCCGGAGGAGGAGGGAAGGAGAGGGCGTTCACTTTCAGCCCCTCGTGGGAGGAAAACACCTCTGCCCCACTCTCTGCCAGCTCAGGGGGAGGCACCCAGGAACTTGATCCCAGGAGTTCCCTGGAGCTCTCTCCAAGTTGCCAGCTTGGACCCCAGCTAGCTGCTTGGCCATTAACAAGCTGGGTGACCTTAACCAAGTCAAGCTCCTCTCTCTGGCCTTGCCCCCTCTCTGCAATGACAAGTGTAGCCTGACTGACCCTTAAGATCCCCTGGAGCCCTGCTGTTCTGTGACTCTAGATGACCTAGATGTTCTCTGTCTTCTGAGAGTTTGGTAGAAGCTCCCTCAGCTCTGCCCAAGGAAGGGCTCGGCCTGGACCACGCCACTGTCCAGGCTGTGGTATCCAGCAACCACGTGCTGGTGCCAGGAGCTGGCGGCAGGGGGACATCCGCCCTCACGGTCTCACAGAGGCCCAGCTGGTGGCCTGGACCCCGGCCCCCCTTTCCTCTAGTTGATATACCAGTTGCCACTCACCTCTGCAACACAGGGTGACTGCAGAAGGACGAGGGGTGGGGGGGTGATGGATGGACCTCTACTCCCCCTCTGGCCCTGGTACCTGGGGCCAGAGGACTTCTAAGACCACTGCCCTCTCCCTCCCCAGAGCCCGCACAAGACAACCAGGTGGTGGCCATCATCACGGTCGTGTCAGTGCTGCTCTTCTTGTTTGTGACATCTGTCCTGCTGTGCTTTGTCTTTGGGCAGCAGTGGCACCAGAGGCGGACAGGTACCTACGGGGTGCAAGCTGCTTGGAGGAGGCTGAGGTGGGCCTACCGGGCATAGCCTACGTGAGCGGCATGGCCACCAGCACGGCGGCCACTGGGACTCAGCATGGCTCCTTAGGGCTGTGGTTCAGCCCTGGCTGAAGGACCACGACAAGCAGCAGAGGACGTCAGGGACCCTCCCTTTCCTAGTCTGAATACAAACACCTGGACTTAACCCTGTGCCTCAGTGTCTCCTCCTGGGAATGGTCAGGAAGGGAGCCACCAGGCCCAGCCGGACTTCGGTCTCCAAATGTCCCCTCAGCCTCCCTCCACCCTCTCCTTCACAGGGGACTTCCAGAGCCCCGGGGAGCCCAGGCCCTGGGGCACCCCCATGCTGACCAGCCCAGGCACCAGACGCCCACCCTCATTGGACACTGAGCGACTCATTCCTACTGAGGGTGGGTGGGGAGATGCACCATGGCCCAGAGGGGCAGAGAGACACTCTGTTCCCACGTGGCCCTCTGGGACCGCAGGCCCTCTGTGTCAGAGCAGGGCATGGCTCTGACCTTTCCTTTCTGTCAACAGAGCCAGCTTCCAGGGGTAAGCATGGGGGCCCCAAGGGCTCAGCTTCAGGATCTCCTCAGCCAGGCCTCCCCCATCACTCTGGGCCTGCAGAGAGCCACGGACAACAAACGCTGTCCTCGCCTCTTACCTCCTGCTCGGTTATTGGGCCAACCCGAGACGCCGCAGCGCTGGCCATCCCCGGGGTGGGGGGTGAGGGAGTGGAGGTCGAGGGAGGGCTCTGGTTCCCAGGCCTCTGCCAGCCCAGGCAGCAATCACTAGGACAGGGTTGGGCTGTTATGTGACCGCCAGGGCCTGGACACTGCTCTAAGGGGCTCTCAGCCTGAAGCAGAGATCAGGCTGGTTCAAGGTCTCCGTGGGGTAGAGAGAGAATGACTGACTGACCTCAGGGAGAGGGCCTAGTTGGGGCTGAGGGGGTAAGAAGGGCTGCCAGACATAGGTTCAGGGTTAGAAAAGCACTAGCGGGGCACACAGGGGCTCCAGGGCTATTTCCAGCTCTGCGATGCAGCTGGCATGAGTCCTGGGGCTGACGTCTGTCCTCACGGTAGGCTCTCGGCATCATAGTAGTCTGGGGGGAGACAGCACCCTCATCGTGACTCCCTCCTGCCTCAGTGGAGCCCAAGGAGGAAACTGGAACGGGATAGGCCGGTTGTCTGCGGCCATGACAGTAGGGGCCCTCAGCCCCACAGGGCGCATGGCCTTCCTGGCCTTCTGATCCACCGCCAGGCCTGGGCCCCACTGCCCACCCACCTGGCCCCTACCTGAAGCTGGGGGTACATCCACACCCACAGTCCCTGTGGCGCTGGGGGGTGGAGGCGGGGGCACGGCTCTCCTGGGACGGGGAGAGAAAAGAAAGAGCCCCGTCAGAGGCCCCAGGCTAGCCTCTGGAATTTCACCCACAAGTTTCCCCACTCCAGCCTGACCCCTGGCCAGCTCTTCCAGCCCAGCCCCAGAGCAGGGCCCGGGCAGCACCCAGACCCTGGCCTCACTTACATCCCCCTTTTCCCAGAGGTAGAAGGGTAGTGCTGACCCCTGGCCAAGTGCTGCAAGCAGGGCTGAGGTAGGGGAGGGGAAAGGAGAGGGGCCGGCCAGGAGAGCAGGGGGCCCAGAGCAGGCATCAGGCAGGGCAGGTAGTGGTGGTGGAACACCAAAGGCCCCTCCTCCTGGGCTTCGGTCTCCTCCTCCTCTTCATACGCCGCCTCCTGTTGACCCTCCAGGTAGACCTGGGGATTGTACAAGAGGGGAGGGGAGATGATACAGGATCATGCTCTCCCAGCCGCCACTCCTCCATTCCTCTAAATTATTTCTCCAGATACCCAGCACAAAACAGCTACTGTTTATTGGGCATTTACTACACACAAGCAAGGCTCTTTGGAGACATTTATTCCTTATTTTGCGGATGGGAAAAACTGAGGCTTGGAGGTTAAGTAACTTTTCTAAGGTCACCCAGCTAATAAGGCCAAGCAGGGACTGGAGGAATCCCAGGTATGACTCCAGAGCTGGGGCCAGGAGTCCAGCAAGCTGCCCCTGGCCTCAGGATACGGGGTTATGGACAGGGTTCTTGGACTCTTTAATCAATAGAAATTGATAAGAAGCCAGCCAAGGAATTCAGGCTGGGAATTCACTGGGACTCACGCTGCACGAGGGAGTGAGAACAAGAGAGAGGTGCTCCCGGTCGCTCCCCAAGGAGAGTGGGCTGGTTCCTTAAATGGGGAGAGGGGAGGGACTGATTGGCGGGTTGGGCTGGAGGGGAGGCTTAGGTGGTCCGCCCACCCTCTTGGTGGTGCTGTGTGCAGGAATCATGCTCAGTACCCTACTTTTGCACCTCAGAAGTGGCAGCTGATTGGTGGCCTTTTTGTATCTTATTGTTCATAATTGCCCCACCTGCGCATGCGTGCCATTCTTTTTAGTCTCATTTCCTTTGTATTCTGCGGCTCGAAGAGACGTTTGTCCAGGTGCAAGCACTGCAGCACTGCAGCAAAGGGTCCCAGGTCCCAGCCTGTGTCAAGCCCCAGTCCCTGGACCCACTTGTGCCCCACTTGTTGAGGTAGGGCGCTCCTCCCAAGGGCCCCAAGGGTGAAGGGGTGGCAGCAGCTCCTCAGGGTCTCCCTCTGCCTCGACTCCTCTGACCGGCCCCTCCATGAATCTCTGTCCGCTCCCTCCAAGCTGACAGGCATCCTCTCACCACCCGGCTGTCACCCCTCCAGACCTCTCAGGCTGCCCACTGCTGGCTGAATAAGGCTCAGCCTTAGAGCTCCTCCCCTCCCATGCACCCATCCCCTCCCCCCCCCCCCCCCCCCCCCCCACATATACACAGGGTTTCCTCCATTCTGTCTCCTGATTCTGCCCCTGCCCACCTCGATGGTGGACACACCCCTCACCTCCTCCAAACATCAGAATCCTGCCTGGCTTTCAAGGGCTGGTTCTAAGGCCACTTGCTCCTCCAAGGAGAAGCTCCTCATGCCCCAACCAGCTGGCCCTCACACTTTGTGGCAGTCACAGCCAAAGTTGCCCTGTATTCATAGTCATTCATTTATTCATTCACTTGTTCAACAAACAGCAATTGAACCCCTAATAAGTATCAGGCATGCTGCAGGCCCAGGGTACGATGGTGCCTGCCCTCCTGGGGCTGCAGTCCAGTGGGGGATTCACTGCAGGGAAACCTTGAAAGCAAGACCTGAGTGGTCTGGATTTGGGGACCCGCTACCTCCACTCCATGGAGGCTGACACGGGGGCCTGGCACATAACAGATGCCGAACAGACCTCGCCAGGTAGATGAGGGCTGGCTCCTGGCTCCCCTGCTGCCTGCTCCTTTTTCTCAAGGTGGGGGGAACCCTAAATGGATGCCCACCTCTGGCCCTGCAGGTGGGCAGCCCTGGTAGCCCACCCCCACTCCCCCACCTCCCGCCCACGCACCTGCGGGCGGGACCAGGCAAGCCCCGGGTTGAGCACCGCTGCCACCTGGCCACTCAGAAGCAGCTGGTGCATCTGCGCGTTCTGCAGCATCATCAGTTCCAGCAGGTCTAGGGGACGGGAGTTAAGCAGGCCCGCGCCAGAACCCCCCCTGCTCTTGCCCCGACCCCAGGGCCTTTTCCCCAACTCCAGCTTCGGGGGGAGGGCGGGGGAAGGAGGGGGTGCAGCAAGGACGCCCAGAGAATGTGCCGGGCAGAGTGGGGTACAAAGTGGGGAGATCCCGGAGTCTCACCTTCCTTCACGCGGCCCGGCCGTGGGGACGGAGGTGGGATGGCCCACAGGAGGGGCTGCGGAATGGTCACCCAGGGCTGGGGGGAGGGGGAGACTCAGTCAGACTAGGTGGGGAAGGGATGGGGACCCCCTCCTCGCTCCCCACGCCTTTGAGTCGCTTCCCTAATCTCGCAGGAGCTTCTCCCCTCCGCGGCCCCATGGCCTCCCTGTCAAGTCTCTTCCTCTCTGGCTGGGGTCGCTCTCCTCACCCACCCCCACTCCTCCAGGGTTCAGACCCTCCAGGGACAGCTCCCCAAGTCAGCCCACCCCTCCACCCCGCCCCCAAGGCCTTCCAGGTAAAGGCAGGCTCTGGTCCCCGACTCAGCCTTCACCGTCGAGGCTGCAGTCTGTGCTGGGGGATGACCCCAGCTCCCTCCAGTCCCCGAGGCCATGGCCAGCTGCTGCGGATCAGGGTTACCTTGACGACGCTGGGCGACGCCAAAGTCTCCTCCTACGCATGCGCAGGTCCCGCCAGCGTTCCGGTGCCTGGGGCGTTCGCCCTTTGTCGCCGCCTCCTGCTCTTCTCTCTCCACCTCTAGGGACGACGGGTCCCGAGGACCCTCACCCCCCACCCCCGGAGGCCCAACTCTCTCCCAGATGTCCACATCCAAACCCCCGCGCCGTGGCTGCCTGGGCATCGCGGCTCATCCCTCGCTGTACCTCGCACCCTTGGGCATCCCGGCACGGAGCCTGGGGGGCCGAGTTTGTTGAGTGAATGCGTGAGCGGCTGGGGAGGCCCGCCCCAACTCGGACACTTGGTTTTGGGGGCCCAGTGCCCAACTGACTAGGGTGATGAGTTAGGAGTAGAGAATTCTGTTGGAGCAGGCTTGGGGGCAAGGGGCAGGTGAGTGAGGAGGGCAAAGGATTTGCTCCCTGCCGCTCTGAATCAGAGGGCTGTCCTGCGGGCCAAGAGTGGTTTCTGGAGGCCACCAAGGAAGGAAACACCAACCAGGTTCACGGAAAAGGCTGGCCCCTGTTCGCTCCCCGGTTCCTGGTCAAGGGGAGCCACTGCTCCAAAGAGGTGGCAAAGTCTGGGGAGTTTAACATCAGTGCCCTTCGTCCCGGAAAAATTACCAACGCTTGCGTTCTTTCAACAGGAAGTTATCGAGGTCTTCTTTGCTTAAGAACAGGTGAAGGGAGAGATCTATTTCGGCAGCTGTGACCATCCTAAGATAGGCCCTGAGCAGCCGTCGAAGAAAATCCAGACAGGAAGCTGGGATTAGCACCCCAGAGTTGCCTTCCCCCACCCTCCACTCCTGTTCAGCTCCCCTTCCCAGAAGTCCTGGTGTCTAGAGCCAGAAAGACCATTCCCACCTCCTCCTTTGTACCTTCACCCCTGTCTCCAGGAGATGGGGACTGTGGGCATTAGCTGTCCCCGTGGGTCTTATGGCCTTGACAGCCGTCATCAAGCTGAGATCGGGCACTGTGGTCACAGGCCCGCAGTGAGTGGGAAGGACACAGAGGCGCGTCTTTCCATCTCCACCCTCATTCCAGGGAGAAAGATGAAACCAGCCCTTATGCTCACCATCAGCAAACTTTGACCCAGGAGGTGCCTGTGTGTGTGAGGTGCCCTTCTGAGCACTGTAGACACAATAGTGTATCCTCGCTGGTTCCAGCGTTGTTGGGAAGTGAAATACTCCCCTGAAAGGAGAGCAAAGATACAAGACTGTGCAAAGTGCCCTCTGAGTGAACCATACAAGAAGGGATCATGAAAAAGAGAAAACTCGGTCACTGAAGGGTGGAGTTCTGAAGGAGGTAGAGATCCTTGGGATGGGGCCAAGCAGTGTGAGAGGGAGAGGGCAGCCCAGGCTGGGAACACAGCCAGAGCAAAGGTGCAGATGTGGGAATGGACAGGGCCTGTAGAGATCCAGTGGCTCAAACTGCCTGGCTAGGGTAGGGGATCTGGGCAGAGGGAAGTTCCAGGCAGACACAGGACAGACTCAAAGGCCAAGTTATAGAAGTGAGGCTTTGCCATGTGGGTAATGGGAAGCTCTTGGTGGGTTTTGAGCAGGAGAGAAATAAGGGGGCGATGTGTGCACAGCCACATTTTAGAAAGATTTATCTTGTTTGTCATATCTTTGTTTATGTCAACCAGAATTAGAAAGAACAAATGTCTGATGGGATGTGTCCTCCCAATGGAATACTATTCCGCCATTGACAATTTTGGTATAGAACAGATCTACTGATGTGGAATGATGTCCAAGGGAGTCAAGCAAAACAATCAGAAAGCATAGTAAGATCTTATTTTTGTTTTAAAAATTATATGTATTTATGTGCATCTGTGGGGGGCGGGGGAGAAAGAGAGGGAAGGAGGGAGGGAGGGAGGGAGAGAGAGGGGCAATTATAGAGAAGCTGTCAGGGCTGCCCATGCCCGCCAGCCTCCCCACTTCTCCACACCTTCACAGTGCTTCCTGGGATCTCCTGCCAAATAAACTTCTTGCTGCCAAATCCTTGTCTCAGGTTCTACTTTTGGGGGAATCCAAACTTAAGACACCAGTCTCCCACTTTCACCATTTCTGCTGCCCAGGCTGCTGCTAACTCCTGGGAAAAGCTATTCTAGCAGCTCTCTGATAAATTTGTGTTCAATGACGTGAAATACCGAAGTCGACATTGAAGTACATTCGCCTGGGAGTATAATGGTCCATGGATTAAACTGAGGCAAAGCTGGAGGCAGGGAGGCCAGCAAAGAGGCCACCTTCCTTCCCCGTAAAGGAAGCTCAGAGCAGGCTGGAGGTGGCTGTAGGAAAGAGGCAGGAAGAGGTGATCATTTCAATACCTCAGATATAAGATTGCATGTTAACCTTACATGAGACTTACTTGTATTTTGGAAGACAGGGTTGAGATAAAAACTATCTGGCTTCTGGTACCCAATTAGAGGTGTCAAAGGAAATTGAAGCATTTGTCCTTTGAATAATGGGAAAACCACACACTTATCTGGCAGCGCTATTTTGCTTACAGATCTAACTTCAGTCCAACAGTGGAGGAGGTGCCTTTCTGGCTACTTGTCCTGCCTACTATTATTTTCTTTGGGGTGTTGAACCCTCCACCTAATCTCTTTCCATTCTTCTCAGTGGGGACTCATTTGCATCTTCAGTTTTTTGTTTTGGGTTTTTTGTTTGTTTGTTTTAGTGTCCCAAAACAATATGTACCGAAAATCCTCCCTGTTGCCTTGGTAAATCTATTCCTGGAAATAAACTAGACATGGGAAAAGATTTCTACTCGTATGTGTTCGTTGCAGTGTTACTTTTAAGAGTTGAAAGCTGAACGTTACCGAATGTCCCATAATAGGAAAATGGTTATGTAAATGAAAGTAATTCACTCCAAGGAAGAGTTTGCAGGCATTAAAAACCATGGAAGGGGAAAAAGGGCTCCCTCCTCTCCTCCTTAGATGGAAATGCAGAGAAAAGGGTCCTTCTAAGAATTCAAGGGGAGGGACTTCCCTGGTGGTCCAGCGGTTAAGACTCCACGCTCCCAGTGCAGGGAGCCTGGGTTCAATCCCTGGTCAGGGAACTAGAGCCCGCATGCCACAACTAAGAGCCTGCATGCCACAACTAAAGATGCAACTAAAAGATCCCACATGCCACAACGAAGATCCTGCTTGCTGCAACTAAGAGCCAGCACAGCCAAATAAATAAGTAGTAAAAAAAAAAAAAAAAAAAAAGAATTCAAGGGGAAATGTCTGTGTGGTACAGATGAGGAAGTGCTGAGCAGAGAGAGACTGACCCAGTAGCAGTCTCTTTTTTTTGACCCATTTCCTAAAAAGGCACAAATTGGAAGGAGTTAGAATATGAGGGTTGAAAGAGAGGTGCTAAATACTGCTTTGCAGCATTTCATGACTAACTGGGTTTGTGGGGAGAACCCTTGAAATTATAACAATAAAGAAATTCCATTTTTCTGCTTGGAGGCTCTGACTATACTATTTCTACAAATCATGGTTATCCTTGTGAGATATGTGTGTGGGGTTTTATCCAAAAGGCCCCTGGTGATACTTTGGGGACTTATAAACACATAGATCACACCAATGGGATGCCATGTGGTGGGGACCCAGTTTCAAGGTCCCACCCCATCAGAATGGAGCTATGGGATGGAGTCCAGAACCCTCCCCTCCTTGCTGAAGCTCCCAGAAAGTCACCCTGGACTGAATGACTCAGGGAAGAAAATGACTGCTCAGGCCAGCGGGTGGGGCTGGGACAGGGTGTGACGAAGCCAATTCCTGTGGGTCAGGATGAGATTTTCTGAAATGTGATTTTATGTTGCAGGATTCTTTGGCTTGTGGATGACCAAAATTCAACCTAAACCAGCTTAAAGAAAAGGGACTTTTGGGGGAAGGGAGGACAGTGATGGAGTTCGTTTATAGTTTAACTGACTCAGGTGTCTTCAGGTCTTTCTCCGTCCTTCTCTCCCTTTCCTTCATCTCCCCCTCTCTGCATGGTGTTCCCTCTTCCTACAGACAGACTTTTCCACTCATGAGAGACACACCGCAGGCGCCTTCAGATGTACTTCAGTTACTCTAGACAAACTTAGAGAATCCCACAGAGGGAGAGATGATCTTTCTTTTGAATCAATACATAGAAATCCCCAGGAAGGACTATGATTGGCCCCACTTGAGTCACATATCCAGCTTTTGGACCAACCACTGTGGCCAAGAGGATTGGCCAGACCTAGGTGACAATGTCCATCTCTGTGGCTGGGGCAAGGTGGCTGTCCTGTAATCAGGAGCTCCACCAGAATCACATATTTGGAGTAGGGAAGCAGTTTCCCAAAGC